CACTGGACACTGCGTTGTGTATGGGTGGTGATCTGCAGCAAAAATGCCAGGGCTGAGCTTTAACTGAGTGTTTGTGGGTCTCCCTGAGCAAATACCAACCCAACAGTGGCAGACAGGCTGTGTTCACAGGGAACCCAGGTCTACCACCAGGTCCGAATCACCACCTTTCCCCTCCTGCCTCTCCCAGAAGAACAAATTCGCCTGGATTCCTTTGGTCTTCCACGTAAACTTAAACTTCCCCTGCTCACCTTCCTGTCCTCCTGGCTCTGCCCTCAAATCCAGTCCCTCTCTCCTCCCCCTACCCCCATTACCTGGAGACAGTGGCCTGTCCTCATGCTTTGGAAGCACCCCATGGAGCTCTGTGTGATCACGTATGGGAACAAGGCCTCATGTCTGGTGTCCAGTGCTTTCAATGGCATTAGTAGTTTTCAGCCCTGGCTGCACATCCCAGCACCTAGGGGACTTTTCAAAAAGCAGATGCCCTGGCCTCACTCAGATTTTTATAATAATTGGCCTAAAGGGGGCCTGTACGCCAGTATTTTTTAAAAGCTTCTCGGATGAGCCTGATGCAAAGTCAGGGTTGAGAATGACTGACTGAGAAGGCCTCATTCAGTCCCCTTAAAGATACCCGAGCTCAGTACTGTGGGAAAGGTAGGTGCCTGACCTCCCCACTGAGACCATAAATTCCCTAAGGACAGGGGCAGGGACAGGCTCACCACTAGGTGCCTTTGAGTCTGTGGAACTCCGCTTTCCCAAGTGCCTCCAATTGTACTTTTTGGAGCCCGAACAGGGTCTTCCAGAAGTCAGATGGTTCCTGCATTTTCCAGGCAGGGCATGTGTCCTATGACAACAGGGGCCTGGAAAGTGAAGACGAGAGCAGTGACCATGAGTTCTGCCAGCCCCAGGTGCGGCCCTGCAGGCGGAGACAGGCAGGCAGTGGGGAGAGGAATGAGGGGTGACGCCGGGGGAGGCTGCTGTGCTCAGGCACTTTTCCTCAGGCCTGTGGCTCCTGTTTGGTCCTTTGAGCCCTGGGCATTGTCTCCTTCACAAGTGAGAAGGCCTTCCTTAACACGTAACCACAGCACTAGCATCATAAAGGATCTTAAAGAGCAACTCAGAGCTTACTTTGTGTGTGTTCATGCCATTTGACCTCAAGCATAGAATGGTGTAACAGCAGTACCACCAGCGTTGATGTAGGGCTGTTTCATCACCAAGCAGAACTCACTTGTGTTACCCCTTCTTAGTCACATCCCCCACCTTGTTCCTGTCCCCCGGCAGCAGCCACTGATCTGTTCTCCAGCTCTACAGTTTTGCCATTTTGAGGATGTTATGTACGTGGAATCACACAGTGGGTAACCTTTCATGAGATTGGCTTTTTTTCATGGCTTCATGCTCTTAAGAGCCTCCAAGTAGTCACGTGTATCAAGTTTATTTCTTTTATCTATGGGTGGTGTTGCATTGCATGGGGTGCTAGAGTTGGTTTCATCATTCACCCATTGAAAGACATTTGGGTGGTTCCCAATTTGGGGCCATTATGAAAAAAGCTCTAGTGAACCTTCATGTACATGTTTTTTGTGAAGATAAGTTTCCATTTTCTGGGATAAATGCTGAAGAGTGCAATTGCTGAGTCATGTGGTAAGTGCATGTTTAGTTTTATAAGAAACTGCCAAACTATTTTTCAGAGTGGGTGCACCATTGTATAATCACACCAGCAATGTATGAGGGATCCAGTTTCTTTGCATTCTTGCTAGCATTTGGTGTCATTTTTTACTTTATCCATTCTAACAGGTATAGTGATATTGCATTGTGGCTTTTATAATTGCATTTCTCTAATGGCTAATGATGTTGATTATATTTACACGTGCATGGTTGCTGTCCATATCCTTCCCTTTGCATGATTTTAATTCTTTTAGCTTTGTTAAGGTTTTATTTTATTTTATTTTTTTGAGATAGAGTCTTGCTCTGTCACCTGGGCTAGAGTGCCATGGCATTAGCCCAGCTCACAGCAATCTCAAACTCCTGGGCTCAAGTGATCCTCTTGCCTCAGCCTCCCGAGTAGCTGGAATTACAGGGCATGGCAGTATGCCCAGCTAAATTTTGTGTTTTTAGTAGAGATGGGGTCTCATTCTTGCTTAGGCTGGTCTTGAACTCCTGAGCTCAAGGGATCCTCCCGCCTTGGCCTCCCAGAGTGCTAGGATTACAGGCGTGAGCCACCATGCCTGACCTGTTAAGGTTTTATTTTCTGAAGCAAGATGTGGCTTATCTTGGTGAATGTTCCATGTGCACTTGCAAAGAATGTATATTTTGTATTTGTTGGATGGAGTATTCTAAAATGCCAGTTGATGGTGTTGTTCAGTTCTACTATATCCTTGCTGCTTTTCTGTTTACTAGTTCTATAGCTTATTGAGAGAGGAGTGTTGAAGTCTCCAACTGTAACTGTGGATTCAGTTTTTCTTTTGGTTCTGTGCGTTTTTGCCTCATGTATTCCAAAGCTCTGTTGTTAAGTGCATACACATTTAGGATTGTTATATTTTCTTAATAAACTGACCTTTTATTATCATGGAATATCCCCTTTATCTCTGGTAATTGTCTTTGTTAGGAAGTCTTATTTTTCTGTTGTTATTATAGCTACCCTCTCTTTTTATTAGTGTGTGCATGGTTGTATCTTTATCCATCCTTTTCCTTTTAACATATAGTTGATCATTTTTTAAATCCGTTTAGTAGGCGCATTTCAAAAAATCCATTCTGACAGTCAGGCTCTTTTAATCGGTGTGTTAAATCCTTTATGTTTAAAGAAATTATTGATAAGCTTTTAGGTCTACCACTTTATTACTTGTGTTCTGTTTATCTTCTCTGATTTTTCTTCCTCTGTTTCCTCTTTCTTGCCCTCTGTGGGTTATTTTCCCATTTTAATGTTACAGTTTATTTTATCTATTGTGTTTTTGACTATGTCTCTTTATATGGCTTACAGTGGTCACTCTAGGGACTACAATACACACACGTAGCTTTTCACAGCCCGCCTAGAATCACTATTTTACCCTTTTGAGTAGAATGTGGAAGCTCGATCAGCAAATAGACCCCTGGATTCTTACTCCCCTCTACATTGGTGTTGTCTCTTACGTTAGTTACATTTACATACATTAAAAACCCATCCAACAACTTTATAATATTTTCTTTGAGCCAGACAACATATTCCACACAACTCAATACAAAAGGATTCTATTATATGTACCATTTTTGTTGCTTTTCATTCTTGATGTTCCAAATTTCCTTCTCGTATCGTATCTCTTCCTTTAACAGTTCTTTTAGAGTCCCTGTGTTTATTGTTCCCTATTTTCCATCCTTATTTTTAAGATTTTTTAGTCTGGCAAATCTCAAGCATCTACCAAAATAGAGAGAATAGAGTGACGAGCCCCGTGTACCACCATCCAGCTTCAGTGGTCACCATGGCCCATGTCATCTTACTTATACACCTCACACTCTCAACTTCGTTACTCCTGAATTATGTTGAAGCAAATTCCACACCATTTGATCCGTAATATTCTAGTATGTTTATCAAAGATAAGGATTATACTAAAATATATAACTGTGCTATCATTATTATATTTAAAATGTAACATTTTAATTTCTTAATGTCATATATATTTAGACAATGTTTAATTTGGCCTGATAGACTCACAAATATAATTTTTTAAAAATCTGTTCACTTGAATCAGGTCCTAAATAAGGTTCAGACATTCCCATTGGTTGGTCACTTAAGTCTCTTCATCTAGAGATTCCCCTTCTGTCACTTTCTCCTTGAAATATATTTGTCGAAGAAATCAAGTCATTTCTTCTGTAAATTTTCCACACTGTGGATTACACTGGTTACATCCTTTTAGGCTCATTTAACAAATTCCTCTGTCCTAGTATTTCCTATAGATTATTAAAGCTAGAGGCTTGATCAGATTCAGAATTAATTTTTAGCAAGATTACTTCGCAGGTAGTCTTATAGTATCATTTGAATTTAAAGTGAATTTTAAAATATTTGATATGTCTGATTCAATGAGAACTGTATTTCTTATTAATGCTTCAGTTGTCTCATTTTGTTGTCCCGTTTTGTCAATGGGAGCCTCTTCAAGTTGGCTCTTGAGTCCTTTTAACGTGACTCTAGGAATCTCCAAGAGCTTCCTTGTTCTCCAGTATAACATTTTGTGTACTTTCCTTCCCTGGCCAGGAATCAACTGTTTTTTCAAGGAGCTACGGTTCCTGTTTGTGGAAACTGGTATGTAGAATCACAGTCTTGGCTTGGGGATTCCATGAGAGTCAGCCATGGGAATGTATTACAGAGCTCCCACGGGAGCTCCCCCTGTCTTCAGGAAGGGTGTGCTTTGTGTGTCTGTAAACAGCATAGCATCAGCATTCTCTGGAGTTGGTGGTGGTGCCATTCTTGCTTTTCAATTATAAGGTGCCTTTTGTTTCCCTGCACCACTGTCAGGTTAGTGGCTACAGGTTGAATGGAGTGATGTGTGTTTGGATCAGTGATATTTGGGGCCTGTCATTTACCAGTGGTGAGACACTTACGCCTTGTGTTTCAAATAGGAATCATCATAACTATATTCTCCAACAAACTTGCACATCATGACTGACCACTGAATTTGTGAATACAGTTGAGACTTCTTTTTTATTACCAAGTTCTTTTTCTACTGAAGAATAGGAAGAGGTGGGTGGGGGAACTGTGGGGTTTGTCGACCCACTGAAGTGAGCCCTGGTCACTATCATTTGAGTCACTGCTTTCACCTGAAAGAAAGAGGCAGTAGCACCTAGAGAAGGGAAAATTGCGGGCTGGGAAAATGAAGGCTTCTGGTTTCACACCCACATACAATGTGCCTCCAGGCCAGAGAAATCCTGCTCTCAGAAGCACGGCCCCGATCCTTTGCAGAAGCCAGGATCAAGGTTCCCTTTCTTCCCTCTGGGACGCAGCTGATCGGGCCTCTGCTTTCATCTTCTTCTCCCGCCAGCTTCTAGAGACGTGGCTGAATTCCCCGAACAACTATGCGCGGAACAGCCCATGTCGTGGGCTCCCTGTGTTCTTGGCTTTACTGTAAAAATGAATAACTTCCAAGTCAGTGGCCACCTGCCCCAGAGCCTGGGCCCTGGTGCCCCCTTCTTGTCACTCGGACCCCTACCCTTGTCCCCAACTTGATCACATCTATCACCTGGCCTCAGTCACTCAGCTTCACCCTCTGCCCCCACCCCCCAGTTTCCCACATCTTCCGTATGGTCTTCCTGTCCATCTGCCAATTCAATTTTATTCTACATGCTTCGGCCTCCATTCACCTCAACGAGTAGTTACTGGACACTCACCGTGGCCAGGCTATGTGGCTACGGAGATGACCAGGACAGTTCCCTCAATGCCATGATGAACACACAAACCAAGTGAGGTGGGAGAATATATGGAAACACAAATGATGCAAGAGAGGGAATCCAGGAGAACTTCACAGAGGACGCACTCGAGCTGGTCTTGAAGGATGAGTAGGGCGTCAAGAGGCAGAGAAGAGGAAATAGTGTCAAGTCCTGCCCCAGCTACGCTGATGGATATTCTTTCCAGCCGCACCTCATCTGATTCCCTTGCTGTTCCCTGCACCTAGGACTGCACTGCTCAGGCCTCTGGCACATATGTCCCCTCCTAGTTTTTCCCCTGTGACAGCTCAGCCTGAAGGAGTAGCTGGGATAACTTGTGCCTTCTGGCTCTCCCCACCAGGAGGAAACTCAGTTCACCCGGCTGGGGCACCTGGTGAGGATGCTGGCCGTGCGCTGCCAGGACCCAGTGGACAGCGTCCGCTCCTTGTCTGCCGAGCCCGTCTACAGCCTCTCCTGTATCCTCCTGCTGCAAAAGCGTATACACGGCCTCTCTCGTCCCCCTCCAGCCTCCCCGCATGCTCCGTTCCAGAAGAGTGAGGGCCTAGAAGTTACCTGATCATGTCATTTCCCTGGAGAGACCTGCCCCCAAACACCTGCAGTGACCCTTTGGGACAAAATACCTGCTCAGGGAAGAGTTCTTTTGACTTAGTTCCTCCCCACCAGCCGAGCTTCACAGTCGTACCCAATTCTACCTCTGCTCTGAGGCAGCAAAGTGGGGGCTCCTTAGACAGGAGCCATCAGCATCCCATATGGTGATGTCCACTCTTTCCCTGCCCACCCCCACCTCTCTCCAAGCTGGCTTGGCTCAATAGGTACCTTGGGCTAGGCCGAGGTCCCTAAAAGGCGGGAAAGGGGGCCTAAGAAGCCTTCTGAGTGTCTGAGGGGTGGGTTGGGGTCTTTGTTTCAGACATGAGGAGGAAAACATAAGGGCTGTTGGAGGAAGAGAGAAAGAGTGAAGCTTGCAGTGCCAGCACCTTCTATGACAACACCTTTCAGATTGGCAAGGTGAGGGGGTGGGGCCAGGACAACATGGGGAGAGCTGGGGCCTCTCATTTATGTAATGTTCCAGCCCCCTCGGGTGAGACTCTTATATCCCACCTGCCTTCCCTCTCTGACAGGCTGTGAAGGTTTTTGGGGGTTACTGTCCCTGTGTGATATAAGGCCCACTGTGAGACTCCCATACGTGCTCCCTTGAGCATCGTGGGTCCTGACCCTTTGTCCTGACCTGTCCCCCAGAAGCATTTGTTTCATGCTCCTGATGCTTCCTGAGCATTGTATATCCCAGCTCCTGCCTCAGAGAGGTGGCACTAAGGACCCCAGCCCCAGCCCCTCCCTCTCACTCCTCTGCTTCTGCTCCCACTCTTCTGCTTCCAGGGCCCCTGTGCTGCGGCCTGTTTCCTCACTCAGCACCACCATGTGCAGGGCTGCAGGTGGCTGGAGTGGCTAATGGCCAGAGCATGGGGAAGCATTGTTGGGGGCACTCACCTGGTCCCCTGGAGTGTCAGGGGCTTAGACTGTAGATTACAGATCAACAAGCTCATGGAGTGACTCTCACCTTCGAATGTGTTGTCTTTTTGTTTGTTTGTTTGTTTAGTTTAACAGGGAAGATTTGGAATAACAATCTACATCTCCCACTTCACTGAAAAAAACTTTCAAATGGAGTCACCTAGCACACCTGTCTGAGTGGCCACTGTCCCTTTTATAGATGGGCGTGGGCTCTCTCAAACCCTCCTACTCTCTGAGTCCCCTGACACCCGTTGCCCTCACTCACTTGTGTGACCTGCCTGGCCAGGGCACCGGAACTGGAAGGACGCGCTGAGGGTGGCTGGGAGCACCACACTGGAAGGGGCTTTCCAGGGCTCTGTTCTAGGGACTTGAGGGCCAGGACCGAGCCTGGGCCCCCACTTCCAATACCTAATTGACCCTGCAGTTTTGAGGGTTGAAAGTTGATTGAAAGTTGATCCCAGCTGTCAGGGGAACCCCTGAAATGTCTGCAGGGCTTTTGCCTTCCCTTCTGGTGGACTTGCACCTCCTGAGTAACCTGGAAACTCATCTACAGACTCTGGGGCTGTGGGCAGGCATTTGCTGCAGCGGCCTTGGCACCAGCTTCTGCGATGTATTCTGTGGCCCCTGCTGATCTGGCCTCTGGAGCCCCAGAACTGTGCCTTGGTAAGGGAGCCACTGGCAGGATTGCAACTAGGCCCATTGAGTTTGGAAGTTGATGGAGAAGGAAGGCAGGAAGGAAGCATGGAAGGAGATATGGGGACTTCTGGCTCTGCCCTGTAGGTTGAGGAAATTGTGGAGGGCGTCCTTGAACAGCTCAACTCGAATCTGGAGCCCAGCACAGAGGAGGAGGCCCTGCAGGCCATGTGCTCTCTGGCTGGCAGCAATACCTGCACTGTGGTCCCCGTGCTGCCCAGCAAGCCCCCGGCCTGGGACAGGTACCTCTGCCCTGGCCCAAGGGCACATTCCGCAGCGCAGGAAGCCCCCAGTACCTGGCCCCAAGCGCAGACTAAAAGTCACTCTGCAAGGATGCTGTCTGTTTCCCCTCCCTTTTCTTTGATCCCAAGTGAGCCTCCTCTCCATGTCCTCCGGCCAATTCCGCTTTGGTCTCACTCCCTCTAGTCCCTGAGAACTGGCTCTTCATGGGCCTGAGACCAGACTAGTCCTAGGAGTGTGATCACCAGAGCTCATGACATTGCTGTCCCTGGGTCTTGCAGCTCCACTATGGCCTGATGGAAGGCATTTGGCACCCAGTGAGACACCACACTCAATGCCCTGCAGCTGCTCACTGACGCACTGCAAAGGACCCACTCCAGAGAGGACACAGTGGAGAGGACACAAGAGAGGACGTGCAGCCTGTGGTGGTCCATAAAGGGAGGAGGGGACCTAGGACGTCCTGTTCTGGGAGCTTGGGGGCAGAGTTGTGGGTCACAGGGCTTGACCTCAGGGGGCAAGCAGGTACTGGGGAGGGGCAAAAGGAGAGGGTCCACACTGGCTCCTCACAGGAGCACTTTAACCTCCTTCTGGTGCTTTGGGATCTAAGAACGCATGGTAGAGAAAGGGTGGGGACCAGTCCCACTGTATGAGCAAGGAAACTGCCAGGCAGGGCCACCGGCTTGTGCTCTCTCTGATTCTGGGGCTGGCATCATTTTACGGGAAGCCTGGGGGTGTGGCAAGGGGCATAGGAGAGGAGGAGGTTTGGTTGCCTGGAGTTAGTGTGGACAAATATGCCAGAAATCATCTTCTTCTGAGCATTTAGAGCCAGTTTCCTTTCCATTTTGAATGTCAAGTGAGCAGAAGAGGAGGCCTATCGCGTGAGGGTGGCCCCCTCCTTTCCCTGGGGGTGAGGTGTGGGGTGTTCAGTCTTTGGATGTTTCTTACAAGCCTGGCTCACAGTGAGCTGTGCCCACTGGCCAGTGACAGGGAGGGACAGGGTGGGCTTCCAGCCCAGACATTCACTGCCCAGGCCTGGTCCATTCTGATTCTCCCCTCCCCAGGTGACATGTGCCTTGTGCGAGATGCTGTCAGAACCCCTGTGCTAGGAGGCTGTCCAGGAACTCTTCCCAGGGCTGTTGCTGGCTGTACTATGTCATCTCTACTGGGTGACTGAGCAAAATGCTCCCCAGAAGATGGTGGTGTTCAGCCAGGAGGGGGCCCCGGGCAGCGAGAGCAAGTCCTTTGACCCCACTAGGTAAGCCTCACCTCCAGGTGGTGGAGAAATGCAACGAGTCGATTCCTGAGAGCCCTGGATGACTATTAATATATGCTGATCTATTAGGGACACAAGGAAGAGAAGAGCAGGACATGGTGTGGGTGCTGCAGCATCATGTACTGGAATATTCTCTCGGATTTTCATATTTCTCATTACTCCTTTCACCATGTGCACCCTTCTACTGACTTACACCAGGGTTTCTACCCACGTTCTTAATGCTACACGTGAAGAGGTTCAGTTAGATGGTAGAGGACAGGGCCAAGACTGTGTCACCCTCTTCACTCAGGTTGGCCATTTGAATCGGCCTGTTGGCCCTAGTTGGCTTCCTCACTAGCTGCCCCATCTTGTGTAAGTCCCTACTGGAATTCAGTTTTCTCACCTGTGACTTGGGGGTTGTAATCCTAAATAAGTGGTTGTCATGCCTTTTTTAACCTCAGAACATTTGATTCCAATGAAATCTGAAATCAAAATGAAAACAAATGAAACCAATAAAAGGAGAGACACTCGGATTAGGTGGGTGAGAAGGTGAAGCGCGAGAGCAGAATTTGAAAACCACGGCACTAGGACATCCCTGTAGTGTCTTTCGTAGGTCTCTGTGGTTGGAAGAGGATTGGGGTGACGGGGTGAGTGGATGGGCAGTTGGAGATGAGGCCATAGATCCATGATGTCTTGTCAGCAGCAGGGCAGCACCCAGCTACCAGGGCTGATTACTGTCTCCAACTAGTCAGCACAGGAAAGCAACCCAGGGCGTAACACCTTGTCCATCTTTCTGTCCTTTTCTTTTCACAAACCATATGGTGCTGGCCTTCAGCTGTACCCTGGAGGTAGTGAAGTTCGTGCTACTGGCAGCTGCCTACAAGGGTGTGGTGTCCTACACAAATGATCACGACTGCTGGGACCTTCTTTTCTAGCTCCTAATCTTTCTACATATGGGTCACAGACCTGACAAGGTGGAACCACTTTCCCAGTGCCCCTGGCACCTCTCTGACCCCTGACCCCAGTCTCCCAGGTCCCAGTACTCAAATATAGTAGCCTTCTACCCTCCCTCCCCCACCTCCCGGCCCTCTGCTCTCCTGATTCCTCAGCCCTCATGTCTTCCCTGTTGTGTGCACACTGGCCCCTGGCCACTGCCCCGCCCCCAGCAACTGCTTACTTCCTGTGTCCCATTCCAGCACAATGGTTAAGATGTGTGACCCCTCCCTCCTTCACTGAATCATGAGCCATGTCCAGAAGTACCTCTACAGTGTGGATAAGGGTAGGAAAATCCTGACCAGGGCCTTCTATGCACAGGTGAGAGCTGGGGAGAGCCCAACAGCTGTAGCCATCCCCTTCCTGTAGCTGAGGGACTTGACTGTTTAACAGGATGTTAACTAACTTGTCCCAGGAAGGAGAAAAAAAGAGAATCAAGCCATCTCAATGGCGTTCCCTTCCCTGGCACGTCAGCGGACCGGTTCAAGCAGGCCAGGATTGCTGGGAAAGGGTTAGCAGTTCTAGTCCTCCCCGAGCAATGCAGGATCCCAGCATTGGGCTCCAAATTCAAGCCCCACCAGCACTACTCCCTAAGCCCTTCCCTGTAGTCTCTACCCCATGTGACCAAATCTGCCACTGCTCTTACCTAGACGCAGTCCTTGCCTGAGCAGGGGCCTGAGGGAGGTCTCGGGGAGCACAGGGTCCCCCTGACCTCTCCTCCATCCGTAACCGTGATGTCCTGCCCCTCAGCTCCTCTAGCACCCAGCAGTGGTGCAGACCATGCACCAGTCTCTGGGCGCTCTAACCCAGTGGATCAAGGATCCCAGCCTCATCGTGGAGGAAATTGGCCTGCGGGGAATCAGTAACCTGACCCCGCACCCAGGATATGTAAGAGTGGGGGAGGGCCCAGTGGGATCACCTGGGAGTCCGTGAAGCATCCGCTTTTCCTCCTGGGTCCCTCAGTTGCCCCAGGTTTAGTACATCCCACCCCTCATCAGAGGACACCACAACATTCAGTGTGTGGGCCTCCCAAGGAGTGCCCTTAAGCTGCCTGAACTCCCTGAGCCTTCATTTCCTTGGCATGTCCAGCCCCTAAGTTCCCCACATCTATTCCTCTTAGGCACCATCTATGTGCTTTAAGTCCCCAGAGTGCTGCAGGATCCCCAGGTGCTGAGTGATCTCTGCCTTCTTCCACATAGTCAAAGGCTCTCAAGAACTGGTTCCATTCTTACAAGGCTTCCTGAATGCTGAGATGCGGGTGGCCGTGCAGGAGAGCCAGCAGAACATCATGCAGCATGGGCGGGACAAGGACACCCAGGGCATGTTCTGCAGCATCTGCCAGCACCTGCGTCCCCTCATCAATGATGTATGTGCCTGCAGCCCTAGGAGCCCTTGGGAACAATATGGGCTGGGGCTGAGCGTGAACCCTGGGGCTTAACTAAGGGCTGGGCTAGGCCAAGGGCCTGTGGCCCAAGGCTGAGATAATGGAGGGACAGACGAAACTCCTGACCACATGGAGCAGTGCACAGGACACGTCGCAAGTGTGTTCCCTACCACATCCAGACGCAGCACATGCCTCCACTCACTCTGCCCCCAGAAGTTCCCTGGAGGAGCCACTGGACCAACAATTGAAAGCTCACACACTGGTGTGAAGTTGGTGCTCACTCTAAGGACCTGGACTCCACTAATGGAGTGAAGAGGGGAGAGAACTGATGTCTCTACCCTTCTCCCAAATAATACAGGGACTTTAGAACGCCAGGGTCCTTGTGGCAAGAGAAGTCTGACACTCAACAGTTTGGACCAACAGACCAATACCAGCCCTCCCCATGTCTCATCCTTCTTATAGATCATGGCATCTTATAGCTGGAGGGAACTCAATGTCCCTGAGACACATGTTGATAGTAGTGCTGTTGAGGCATTTGTAACTTGTTTGGCTTCTGAACCTTAGGTTGGAATTATTTTGGTATAGGTCTCATCTCCTCTATGACCCTGGAAACTCCCAAATGGCTAGGTCCATGTCTGACTCATCCATTTTTCAGTTACTTTAAAATTCAGCATATATACTTTCCTTGACTTAACAAAGCCCAAAGGTAATATCTTTTCCCTCCATCCAAACAACATAAAGACTGGAATGCTTTAATTCTGATTACACCTTCCCCGGTTATGTATGAATGTTGTCTAGTATTTTAGTTCCACCTGCTTATTAAATCTCCAAATGTGGTCTTTATATCATCATCATCATTGTTATTATTTTATACAGTCAATGCTTACGTAGAATTGCCCATATGTTTACAAGTCTCCTTACTCAACTTTCCTTCTTACAGCTCTTTCCTCCCTCTGCGAGCCTGCTTCCCCCTTCCTTTCCAGCTCCTTGAGTGAGGGTCTGAAAGTAGTAAACATTTTCAGTCTTTGTATGAAAATGTCTTTATTTTGCCTCATATTTGTCTTCAGTTAGTAGTTTATGATGTAAACATTACGATATTTCTTGAATGCTGTCCCTTTCTTTTGTAGTGTTGGTTTTCCTCAATGTTTGCTGATCCTTGAAGTGATTTCTGGCATTTTTATGCTAGAGATTCTCGGCGGGCCCTCTGTGGAAGCAACGCCCACCACTGCAGCCCGATTTCGGTAATCATGGGAAACATCCTGGGATAAGTGGACAGTCGGATGTGCCAGTGGCCAGTCTTTCGACTCTAGGGCTCCTTACACTCCCTGGGGGATATCAGACACCCAGGGAACTGCCCCTTCTCTTTGGTCTGGACACCACACTCCTTGCTCTGCTGGGGTGTTCCATGCCCCTGCTGCTTGGTCATTGACAAGGGGGACATCAGGAGGGAGCAACTGAAGGAGGTGGCTGCACTACAGCCCCTAAAGCGCCACCTGTTGGTTGCCCAGGACCATCCCTCACTCTGTATCACAGCCCCTGCGCTTAGAGCACTCCCGGAACCCCTGCCACCTCCTGCGGTAGTATTTTCTTGCCCATGCTCTGGGCTATAATTTCTACTTTAATTCCAGTTCTGTCTACTGCTCATCTTTCAGGGATACTCTAGTCCTCTGGAGGGGAGTGGAGGAACTCCACCTCATATTTCAGATCCCTTATGAATTCTAAAAACATGTTTCCTCTCTTTCTCCTAGGGATGGGATGACTGCAGCAATGCTCAGTCACCCATTTTAAGCTACTGTGCATGTTATATTTTACTCTTTGCTTTTGTCATTAAAGTACTAGTAAGGAATCATCTCTCTGTTTAGCCATTATGCTATAATGTACACATCCAACTTGTTTAAAAGCCTGCCTCTGTGTTCAGGAACTATCTGTGTTGTCCTACCATGCGTCTGTCATTTGGCATTGTGCCTGGCTCATGATAGGTTTTCAAGAAATATTTGTCTGATTAATATATAATATACTCCTGAAAAGGCACAAAACTTAGCTGTTTGTGCTCATTATTAATTCATATAAGTTAATATAGACTTAAATGGCTTTATTTGCAGCATAACTAGGATGAAAATAAGCATTTTTTAAAATTTGGCATGCTAGAGCTAAATCCTTGGAAGGGAAGGAAGTTACGAGCTGTAGATGGGTCCATGGTGGAACTGAAGCCACGATGTTGGTTTCCCTGGCACTGTGCCTATGTGAACTGACTTCTCAGCTCTGAGGTCTAAAGGGAATCGCTGAGAGGCACAGGCAGTGTGGTCTCCACAGAAAGTAAGCAGAGCAGCAGTGCACTCTGGACACGCGCACTGAGATGGGGATGGAAGGAAGCCAGGCCAGGCAGGGCCAGGGAAGCCACCGCCTGCTCATCTTCATTTTGTGCTCCATGGCAGAAGAGGGAGCCAGTGAGGACAGCAGCCACCTCTGCCCTGGGCCACATGCTGGGGCTGGACATGAAATACAAGCCTGGAGCCACAATGAAAAGGGAACTGTATAAATTTCTGCTCCCGTTGCTGCTGAACAAGCAGGAGGAAAACAGCGAGGTGGTCAAGGTACACTGGTTGTCTCTGTCCTGCCAAGCCCAGGCCCAGTTCATGCCCACTTTGTGCCAGAGCAGAGCCCCTTGTCTTCAGCTCTGTCTTCATGAGCCTGGCCGTGGCTGTACACTCTACGGCCACCTCTGGCATCGTCCTCTGGGCTGGCCCTGAGCACTCTCACCCTCTCTTTGTGATGTGGGGGCTCCCACTCAGCCCCTGGCCTGGGCAGGCATAGGACTGGGGCCTGGGGGTCCATTCTCTCCACCCACAGGCTCGTGGAGGGGCCTCGCTGAATGGGCGAAGCTGATTGGCTGGGCGTCCCTGACCCACACCTTGCAGCACAGCACGCTCAGCGACCACCTCCAGGTGTTCCAGGACACATGCACGTACCTGGTGAGTGACAGTCTCAATGTTCATCCTGGGGACAGAACAGTGGGCTCGGTGTACAGAGGGGGCAGGTGACAGATATGTTCCTTCAGTTCCTGATTCTCATTCTTTAGCATCAGTTGCCCCTGAGAACACTCACCTGGGAGGCCAGGCCCTGGTTCTCTGCACTTGAACCTCATCGCATCCCGATCTCTTCCTCAGAGGCCAGGGACATCATGCTGGGTTAGTGGATGACCAGAGGACACAGGTCTCTGGTTAGAGTGGCAGGAAGCCCTGCAGGCAGGAGCTGTGGGGCTGTGGCTCCTGCAGTCAAGAACAGGCCAGAGATCAGGAATCCCTGTTGAAAAGTAACCATTTAAGGGCTAAGCGAGTAGGTGAGGAAATGATGCAAGTAATTCTGATATTATGAATCCCTTACGTAGACGGAGCGCTTTACAAAGCACTTTCACAGCCATTTCCCCATTGACATCTTACAATGATGTCAGGGAGGCTGGGCAGATTTTCCCTCAGCTCTAAGGAGAGAACAGTGAAGCCAGGAAGTGCCAGGCCAGTATTCAAACCTGGGTCTCCTGGCTCCATGTCAGGTGTGTCG